CTTATATGATTTTTTATAGTTTATTGGATACTCCGTTTGGTGATATTTACACCCTCTTCTACTCACATGTGCTTGCTATAGGCAGGTGACGTCCTGGTGCTTCATGTATGTGTTTGCCTTTCCGTCCCTTTCTTTGCTCATTATCTTTTTCCAAAAAAGGTATGAGGCAAGGGCCATGCCTGTGGCTCAAAGGAGTAGGGCACCGGCCCCATATGCTGAAGGTGGCAGGTTCAAACCCAGCCACAGCCAAAAAAAAAATGGTACGAGGCAACCCATTAGGTCACTTACTCTTCCCAACTCAATGAGGTACTACTCCTCTTCCTCCCCTTTACATCTGTGACCCAGCCAGGCCCACATGGTGGAGGGGGTTGGAATGCGATGCACCGGACTCTGTCCCAGGCCCTCTCTGTTCCACCACATTGCAGTCAGCAGCCCCTTAGTGAGCCCCTTCTTGGACCTGGGGCTGAGCTGGGAGGTAGGTTGTGAGGGTGCTGAGAGGGGGCCACAATGGGCTTGGGGGGTCTGGAGAAAGGGGCCAGGCACAGGGTGGCCCACACCTGGCCTTGCCTGGATCCTTGCTGTGTGGGCTGGTAGGGCAGAACAGCAGGAAGGCCTGAAGATGTGCAGGGGCCAGGAGGAGCTCAGCTAGGAACCAAGGCTTTGAATCAGCCCTGGCCAGATTCCTGGGCCCTGGGGGCTTCTGGGGTGGGAGTGGGAACCAGGGAGGAATGCTTCCTGGGACCTCTTCCCACCTGCTTCTCTTCAGGTTCATTACTCATCTCCAGAGAACAAGATCCTGCCTGTGGCCATTGCAACATCAGGGAGTTTCCTGGGGCTGGCATTTGGAAGGCTTAGAGCAAGCAGCTCTGTCTCTGTGATGGATGGGCCAGTGGATGGGGCAGGGGTGCTGCTCATTCCCTCTTTCACTGTGCAGAGCAATAAAGGAGAGCTATGGCCATTGATCCCATGATTTCAGACCCAGAACAGGCCCGAGGTTGGGAGTAGATGGGAGAATAACCTCCACATCTCTCTCTACTTGGCCCTTCTCAGAGAAAAAGTGGGAGCCTGCGTGGGTGCTGGAGCCAGGGATGCTGGCAGACCATTCGCTAACACATCTATCTACCCTGAGTGTTAACAACATAGATGCAGCCTAAGACTGGACCCAGGTATTAAACATGCCAGGTTAGCCTGTTAAGCAGATCCACAGGAGTTCAAAAATGTTACCTTCCCCCACAGCATCGATGCTTTAAACCAAGGCAGAACATTCTCTTTGTTCAAATAAATAATTAACCTTTCCAATAGACAGGGAACAGAGCTCTTGCCATGTGGACTTGCCGGTTTCTCTCCTGCTGTGGGGCTGTTTGCTGGGTTTTGGTAAATGTTTCTTACATGTGCTCCATAAACCAGGTATCTGATGTATCAGAGACCGTGTTTATAGTCTACCCTTAAACCACAGACCTGTGAGCTATGTTCTCTGATTTCACTTGCCAGCACATTCTTCTTGAATGTGGAATTGTTTTTTGTAAACCCTAGAAAGGATTTTTATAAGCCACAAGCTTAATGTAGGCAGACAAAGAAGCCAAGAGGGCATATTTGGGTCTGTTCACGGCAGGCAGAGAAAAGAACAGGGATTCTTTGCCCTTTCCAATGCTCCCTTCCTACCTGCTATTCCTGCTTGTTCCTGCCTGTTCTTGCTGCTTGGCTAGAGTCTTTCCCACTGAATTTCTGCCTGGGGACCTGGAAATTACATGGGTGTTGGAGTACTTCAAGCTAGGTGAATCCAACCCCTGCCTCCTCTTCTTCATCTGGGAAATGGACAGAATGGAATTGACCTCACACAGGGGGCTGGAAGGTTAAATGAGGTGACTATGTGAGCACACTGCTCTGTGTGATGGGGCTGTGTGTGGCACTCACTGGGGGAGCCTTGGCAAGTAGTGCTGTCCTGTTTCCCAGACTGTCACTCATGCAGCTGGTCTAGATTGGATGCTCAACCTCCCACAATGGCCATGCATGTGTGATGTGGGTGGGACCCTGTCCTAGTGGGCTCTGCTGCTCAGCTCCCTGCGGGAACCCCGGAAGGCCAATCCGAGGGAACCCGGGTGGTCCTCTCTTGTTCACTGGCCAGTTCTCCTCTCCATGCTTACAACAGTGTGTGGCAAAGTAGATGCTCAGAAACATCTGCCAAATGAACTCAGGCTCGATGGTAGTAGATCTTCCAAATGCTCAAGAGGAGCTAGAAAGCCGAGTTCATATGTGGGATTTCAATATTTGTAACCAGATCAAAAACACTAAAAAAAAATTTTTTTTGAGACAATCTCACTCTATTACCCAAGCTAGAGTGCAATGGCATTAGCTTTGCTCACAGCAACCTCAAATTCCTGGGCTCAAGTGATCCTTCTGCCTCACCCTCACAAATAACTGAGATTGTAGGCGCCTGCAATTTTTTGCAGGTAATTTTTTATATTTTTAGTGATATAGGGGTCTCATGCTGGTCCTACTGGTCATACTTGCTCAGTCTGGTCTTGAACTCCTGAGATTAATCAGTGCTTCTGCCTTGGTTTCCTAAATTGCCCAAATTATACTGCAAAAGCATTTTTTGAATATCATGTGGTCCAAATTAAACTCACGTGCAGGTTGGATTCTACTTCTAGGCCCTAATCCAGGCCATCTGAACCACACTCTTCTCTCCAGGAAACCCACAGAGGCTGGAGCTGGTCACAGGGTTGTTACTGACAAGGTCATGGTGGCCCCGCCCCACCAGCCTCTTAAACCCCTCCCCAGACCCACCTTTCATTTCTCAAATGAATTTGCACCTTTGCTGTGATTCCATGAGTGCCAGCCCTCTGTGCAGCTGGGCAGGCTGTGCATCTCTCCCAAGAGTCCTGGAATCTGGTCACTACACCCTCCCCCACTCTGTGGAAACAGACCTCAGGATGGCCTCCTGGCCTCTGACTCTCTCCTCCCCATGGCCTTGCAGCATCCTGCCAGCGTGGGGACTAAGTGACCTCTCAATTCTTTGACTATGTTTTCTCAACCCCCTTTCTACCTTTATCTACTTCCACCACCTGGTGCTGTGACCACAGTTGGTCCTTGTTATCTCCTGGGATGGCTCTCCCTCCAGAATGTTATATTCAAACATTCCTGCTCTGTGGCTACAACTTCATATCCTTCTTACTCTGTCATCCCAGGTCCTCCTGCTATACCCGTACTTTAATGGACCAAATTCACTCTATTTCTTTCCCCTCCTATGCTCACTGCTTCTCTCTTCCAGCCATCCCTAGTCTGACTAGCATCCCCAACTCCCATAACCTATGGCTGTCTACCTGGTTAAACCCCCTCACTGGGCTGGGCTCAGTGGCTCACGTCTGTAATCCTAACACTCTGAGAGGCCAATGCGGGTGAATTGCTTGAGCTCAGGAGTTCAGGACCAGCCTGAGCAAAAGTGAGAGCCCATCTCTACTAAAAATAATACTGAGGGAAGGAGATCGCTTGAGCCCAAGAGTTAGAGGTTTCTGTGAGTTATGACGCCACAGCACTCTACCCAGGGCAACAGCTTGAGACTCTGTCTCAAAAGAAAAAAAACCAAAAAATTTGCACTGGAGCAATGCACTGTCTGCCTTTCTTGGGCCTGCTGAGCATTGGTAGAGTAAAACCATGCAAAAAGTCATGCATTCTAGTTTCAGCTGGGCCCTCAGAGCCCCCGGGGACTCTTTCCTGCTTCCCTAGTGAGACTTCCTCTGTCCATCAACCACTGTAGCACCAACATATCCTTTCTTCCCCAGCCCAAATCCCTCTATGGCCTGCATTGTCCTCTACCATCCTAGCATAAACCCACCTGCCTCTGCGTCCAGTTTATTTCTTCTGTCTGGAAATGGCCTTTTGTTTGGCCAACTGTGGAAGTTCTACTGTAGTTTCGCGAGAAATTGTTAATTACATATTATCGCCTCTGAAGGATGGGATTCATTCACTCATGAGTACCTACTAAAGGCTGGGCACTGGACTAGGCATAGAGAACCACACAGTTGACCACCTCCCTACACTGATCGCTTCCTTATATTGACCTAATTTTCATAGACTGGACATGCACCACATGAACGTTTCAGTAGAGTAGGCCTAGTTCTTTATGTTGACCACCTCTGTATGTTGACCAGTTTTTTACAGTCCCTTCAGTGGTCAACTTGCAGAAGTTCTACTCTATTTAGATCCAGGTACATTCCTTGTGGATAGAATCTCTAGCTATGTCAGACCTGCATTCCCAGCAGGTAGCCTGGAAAACTTTGAATAGACAAATGGAAATGTAATAAGAGACCCTTACTGGATACTTGCATTAGTTTCCAATAGCAACCGTGACAAATTACCACAAACTCTGTAGCTTAAAAAACTACACTACACTACACAAATGTATTTATTCACTTACAGTTCCAGAGGTTTGCAGGGCTGGTTCCATCTGGAGGCTTCAGAGAATCTGTTTTGTTGCCTTTTCCAGCCCCCAGAGGGCTCCTGTAATCCTTGGTTAAGCACCACCCCCACCCCCTTACATCAGTCTGGCCCCTGCATCTGTGGTCACGTCTCCTCTGTCACTACCAGGGGTCCTCAAACTTTTTAAACGGGGTGGGGGGGGCAGTTCACTGTCCCTCAGACCTTTGGAGGGCCAGACTGTGGGCCCCAGGATGAGTTGGCTTCTAACCAGGACAGGCAGGGGTGGCAAAAGCACCTGGTGGGCTGGATAAATGTTCTCGGTGGGCCGCATGTGGCCCACGGGCCATAGTTTAAAGACGCCTGCAAGACCCTTGTGAGTATACTGGGATAATTTAGGACCATCTCCCCATCTCAAAACCCTTAGTTTAATTATATCTGCAAAATCCCCTTTACCATACATGTATACAGTAATGTTCACAAGTTCTAGTGATTATTAGGTCCTGGATATCTTTGGGGGTCATTATTTAGTCTACCACAATTGTATTTATTATGTCAGAAATAATTGGCAAGAAAGCTAAGACTTTTGGTTTGTTGCTGTTTTAATTCCGCCAGAAAAGCTGGAGAATTTCTTTCCTATGGGACGAGGACATTGGAGCAAGACTTGTAGGCGTGCATTGTTTATAAAGTTCCCAGACCCTGGTCCTGAAGAACCGGCCCACAAAAACATAAATCACCGGATTCAGGCAGCTGTTGATGAAAGCAAAGAAGTTGGACAACTGCAGGCCCAAGTCAATGAACTCCTCCCAGAAGCAGCCTCTGATGGCTTGCACCTGGTTCAGGAACTCTAAGAAGGCGAAGAAGTGGTAGGGGGCCCAACAGAGCAGGAAGGCAGCCACCAGTGTGAGGATCAGTGCTGTGGTCTTGCCATCCTTGGAAACCACACTCTGTGTCCTGCTGAACTCCTCCCTCCTTCGCAGGGAGGCCAGGATGTGGTAGTTGAAGAAGATGATGGCAGTCAGAGGTAGGAGGAAACCCAGCACATTCAACTCCACCATCCTCACAAAGTGCCAGGCCTCATGGGGAAAATGCAGGATGCAGGCGGAGATATTCAGATCTGGCACGGTTTGGATGGACCGCAGCAGGAATGTGGGGGTGCTCAAGAGCACCCCCATAGCCCAGATGAGCACGCAGGTGGCCTGAGCCTGCCTCCGCCTCCGCCACCTCCAGCTGGCCATGGGGTGCACCAGTGCACGGTAGCGGTCCTGGCTGATGGCCACTACGAGGAAGATGCTGATGAACAAATTGGCCTTGATGACCCCATTGATGACACGGCAGAGGAGGGCTCCGAAAGGCCAATTGAATTGGTTCCAGATATTCTTTGCCCAGAAAGGCAAGCCCAAGACAAACACCAGATCAGAAGCTGCCAGATTGGCCAGGTAGATTTCTGCCACATTCAGTCGCCGCCGAGGTAGGAGGAAGATGGACAGGACAAAAAGGTTTCCCAGGAGGCCAAAGACGCAGATGATGATGATAACTATCGGTAGCACTCTGTACAGCAGGTCCCAGTCTTCCAGAGCATTGACACAAGATGTAGCATTGAGAGGAGAGAGCTGGCTCTGGTTAGAGGACTGGAGCTCTAGGGGAGTCCAAGATGCCATCCACAATGACCTGAAATGAACAGACCATAGAATAAAACAAAAGGGAGCAAACTATCACCAAGGGGCCAAAATCAGCCTGCAGCCCGATTTGGATGATAAAGTTTTATTGGAGTATACATCTTCACATTCATTTGTATATGGGGCATCCTCAAACTATAGCCCAAGAGCCACATGCAGCCTGCCTAGGACATTTATATGACCCGCTGGGTGTTTTTGCTGCTGCTGCCTGTCCTGCTTAGCAGCCAACTCCTCCCAGGGCCCTCAGTCTGGCCCTCCAACAGTCTGAGAGACAGTGAACTGTTTAAAAAGTTTGAGGACCCTTGGTCTATGGCTGCTTGTGTGCAACAATGGCTGAGCAGAGTGCTTGCCACAGAGACTATCTGGCCTGCAAAACTGAAAATATTTACCATTTGCTACTTTAGAGGAAAAGTGTGATGATCTCTGGTTTAAAGGAAGGGCCCTGAGTCCAAATCCTGGTACAACCACTTGGTGTGAACAACTTAGACTCTTTGACTTTTAATTTCCTTTTTTAAAAATTGAAATGACAGGTGGCATCTGTGGCTCAGTGAGTAGGGTGCCAGCCCAATATACCAAGGATGACAGGTTCAAACCCAGCCCCGGTCAAACTGCAACAAAAAAATAGCTGGACATTGTGGTGGGCACCTGTAGTCCCAGCTACTTGGGAGGCTGAGGCAAGAGAATTTCCTACACCTAGGAGATGGAGGTTGCTATGAGCTGTGTGATGACATGGCACTCTTACCGATGGCGATAAAGTGAGGTTCTGTCTCTACCCCCCCCAAAAAAGAAAGAAATAAAATTCAAATGATAATAAAATCAATAAATAAAAAAATTGGAATCAACTATATCCTTCTTGTGGGACTGTGTGTGGGCTGGTGATAGGACTATGGGGTGCTTAGCACATTGCCTGGTAGACAGGAAGTTCATTAGTCTATTAACTACTATATACGGATTATTACTAACAGTTTAACAGACATTTAGTGCCAGCATTTTGCCAGGTTCAGAAGGTCCATGGGATGGAGCAGCCTCAACCTCATGGTGCTCACCATCTAGAGGGGATAAAGTTCCCAGACCTTGGTCCTGAAGGGCAGGGAGACAGGAGTTGTGATCTGAGACAGAATCAAGCAAAGTCTAGGAAAGGGACAGTCTGAGGAAGCTGATCACTGGCAATGGGACCAATGACATAGCCAGGGTGGGGCAATGCTGGAAGGCTTCCAGAATGAGAAGGTTCTTCAGGTAGGCTTCAAAAATATAACTAATAATATCATAAGAATAACAACTAACATTTATTTAATGGTCTCTATGTCCCAGGCACCATCCTAAGTGTTTCACATTGAAGTATTTTCTCATTTAATCTTCCTAAGCCCTGGTAGCAGGGTTCTGTTGTTATTGCCAGTTGGTTAGACAGAAAATTGGGCACTAAGATCTGAGTCACTTATCTGGGGCACACTGCTGGTCCATAGTGGAGCCTGGATTCAGTCCCTGGTTGTTTGATCCAAAAGCCTGCCCTCTTGGTCTATTTGGTTCTGCTGCATGTGATGCTCCCACCTGGCCAGACTCAGAGTTCACTAGCTTGTCCAAGGAGACCTAGCTGGCCACTGCTGATCTGTGGCCCTCAGAAGCAGGACTCCACAGGCCGTGGTCACAGCCAAGCACATCTGACCTGCTTCCTGCAACCCCATGCTGTTTAAGGGGGAAAGGCATAGGCAGAGAAACCCTGCTCCTTCCTTAGGGCAAATCACAATTCCCAGCCCTCTGTGGTCCCTACACATCCTGTACTCGTGGGTTGGGGCTCCTGCCAGCAAAGCTGGCCACAGCCAACTCAGGGGACCCTCAATGTCTGACAATTGGAGTGAATAGCTGCCTACACTGTGGGATTTCTGGGGCTCCAGACAACCCTCAGCACCTAAGCATCCTTCCCCAACCTGGATGAGTTAATGTACACTAAGTATTTAGCAGAATTCCTGACTTAACATAAGTGCTCAACAAGTGTTAACTATTCCATCATCATCAACATTATCATTGCTCAATGACACTTGAGATTCCTTCAACTGGGCAAAGCCCCACAGATTCTAACAGAAGATATTGTCTAAGACAAAATTAATCTTGGAGGAGTCTATTTGACTGTGTGACTTTAGGCAAGTCACTTCATGTCTCTGAGCTTTTCTTCTTCTGAGGAGGATATGATGACATCAAAGATGTCCTTCTAGCTGTGACATTGTCATATCACACTGAGTCATTCAATGGTTGCTCCAGGTCTTTAGCCACTGAATAAGTATTTACTGAGCACCTACTATGTGTTAGCCACTATTCTAGGTATCCGGGACATGGCCAACAGTAAAGCAGACAAAAATCCCTGCCCTCAGTGAGTCCGGTGGGAGGAGACAATTGATTAAAAATAAACCTAACAAATAATTACGTTGGCAGGCAATGGCGCCCGGGTGGTAGCGTGGAGGTGGTGAGAAGGCAGCAGGTTCTAGGCATATTTTGAAGGTGGTCTGCTATGATTTTTGACTGGCTTCAGGTGTGGGAAAGGAGAAGTTGGATGATGCCAAGGTTCTGGGCCTGGACAGCGCCTGAGAGTATGAAGTTGTCACCAAGTGAAATGGAAATGACAAAGCAAAGATGGGGCAGGTTTTCAGGGGGAAGATTAGGAGTTCACTTTGGACTTATTAAGGTTCCTAAGTCTATTGGACATCAGATGGGGATGTCCAGTGAGCAATTAGATAAGACAAATCAGGTGTTCAAGGACAAGGTCTGAGACCCCGGGGCCTAATTAGGAGTTGTAATCACACAGATGATATTTAAAGCCACAAGTCTGGATGAAATCACAAAGGTAGAGAGCAGACAGAGAAGAGAGTAAGCCGCCGGGCTGTCAGTTGACAGATCAGTGGGAAACATGGGAAATCATGGTTTGGGGGCTGTAAAATACCCACGGCACCCAGAAGCTGACCCAGATGTGGAGGAGGCTGGACGCTCTTGTTAGGATGGTTTGGCCATTTTTTGCAGAGTGTAAATCCACAACTGTATGTTTATTTTATTATTTTTCAATGCTTTTAAAATTTGCAATAAACCCTTCTAGCAGTGATGAGCTAAAAACCACATGTCTAATGAAAATTTAAGGACTGACCTTGTATTTCTCAAGGCACTTGATGATGAATGTGTAACTTGCACAAAACGTTTGTTGACATTTACATCACTATGGGAGCTGTAGAGATTTCACTGACAGCAAGAAAACTGAAGACTCAAAACTGCTAGATTAGAAGTTAGTAATTTTAAGAAGATTGTGTCCTAAGACACTGATTTCATGTATGTAGTTACAAAAGATGCTGTTACGCAATAGATCGCTAAGAGAGGTATGACTTTTCACTTAGATAAAAAGATTATTCTTTAAGTTAATTCAGCTTGCATTTAGCTCCAGCTTTTCTTGTGCACATTTAACAATGGAAGTGAGGGCTGGTTATGTGTTGGCTCCAGAAGAAGGATTTCAAGAACAGTAAAATAGTGCCAGTTAAATACTGGCATACTCAGATTACTCAGATAGAAAAACCAGTGAATTCTAATCACAATTCAATTCTTTCATCCAATTTGTGAAATCAAAGCAGAGATTTTTATTCATTGTTGTTGAGATAGAGTCCCACTATGTCGCCCTCAGCAGAGTGCCACGGCATCACAGCTTGCAGGAACCTCAAACTCTTGGGCTTAAGTGATTCTTTTGCCTCAGTCTCCCAGATAGCTGGGACTACAGGCACCTACCACAACGCCTGGCTATTTTTTTGTTGTTATTGTCTTTGTCATTTAGCAGGCCCAGATCAGGTTCGAATCCACTGGCCCTGGTGTATATGGCTGGAGCCCTAACCACTGAGCAATGGGCGCCACGCCAAAAGCAGAGATTTGGGAAGTTCATTCTGGCAAAGTGAAACAGTTGACTTTTTTTTTTTTTTGAGACAGAGTCTCAAGCTATCTCCCTGGGTAGAGTGCTATGGCATCACAGCTCACAGCAACCTCCAACTCTTTGGGCTTAAGTGATTCTCTTGCCTCAGCCTCCCAAGTAGCTGAGATTACAGGCGCCTGCCACAATGCCTAGCTATTTTTTGGTTGTAGTTGTCGTTGTTTGGCAGGCCTGGGCTGGATTCAACCCTGCCAACTCCAGTGTATGTGGCTGATGCCTTAGTCCCTTAGCTACAGGTGCGGAGCCAACAATTGACTTTTTTTAAATGCTATTCTAAATTAAGTTTAAATTTTTCATAATTATTGGAAATAAAGGTATTGCATTTTTTATGAGGATAATATATATTGAAATTTTGGTGGAGCATATTGTCATGGTCACATCAATATTCTTACTATTATTAAGAGATCAATGAACACACACTGTGTTTAGAATGTGATTGGAACAAGTTGTGGTACACATACAATTTGTAATTGCATACAGATAAGTTTCAATATTCTACTAACTGCAATAGGTGCTGCGTTTGATAAAATATACAAAATTTTAAAGCATATACCTTGAATTACTAAACTATAAGTGTTTTGTGATGAACTTGATGATGAATTTTTTAAAAAACTGAACCTTAGCAGTCTGCCCAGGCCCTCACCAGACCGAAAGAGGTGTTGTGCCCCAGGGTTGTAGAGTCATCAGAATAACAACCAGAGATGTCCATGTCCTAGTCCTTGGTACCTGAAAATGTGTTACCTTTCATGGCAAAAATAGCTGTGCAGATGTGGTTCAAGTGAGGATTTTGAGGTGGGGAAAGAATCCCAGACTACCCAGGTGGGCTCAATGTCATCACAGAGTTCTTCTAAGAGGGAGGCAGGGGTGTCAGAGTCAAGAGAAATCAAAGATGCTATCCTGCTGGCTTTGAAGACAGAGGAAAGGGCCACAAACCAAGGAGTGCAGGAGGCTTCTGGAAGCTGGAATAGGCTCATTGGAGCATTTTGAGTTTCAGATTTTCAGATTGGGGATGCTCAGACGATATAACACAAATA